CGCTTCCAAACCAAATTCGATATTCCGAAATGAGCAAGTGCATATAAATGTAAATTTAAAACGTAAACTATAACTAAAACCATAACTAATAATTTTTACGTTACATTTAGGATGTACTAAAAGATGATAGGTGCCGATGTAGCCATTGCGGACTTTGTTCTTGAAAAAAAAAAATAATCCACCCACTAATGTAGCCAGTGCGGACTTTATCTTTTATAAAACGGAACAGTCCCAGCACTCACTGGCTTGTATTAAAAATACCACCGTTGCGGACTCTGCCATTTACAAATGACAGTCCCAGCACTCACCGATGTAGTCAGTGCGGACTCTGTTCCTCGAAAAAAAAAGAAAAAAAAATCCCAGCACCTGATCTTACCTTTTGATACAACCTGTATGTGTACACATGGATATTAAAACGTATTCAATAACTGATATAAAAGATACTATCTGTTTTTTGAATTAAAGTATACACTTTAAAATATTGTATACAGTCGAAATTAATAGAATTATATTTTTCGGAAACATTTATAGCATAAGCTTGATAATGAGCATCAAAGTGAGTTGCATACAAGTATTTAACAGTGGCTATAAAATCAGATGGCGATGGTGGAAAGTTTGTATTAATTTTAAAAATATCAGTAATTTCTCCAAATAAAGGAAACTCATCGTCAATATCTAACAATACGATCGATTCTCTTTTAAGCGTTAAATTTCCAAAAGTAAGACTTTTTACTTTAGTGTAATTCGTAAAATTACTCAATAACGTTTGTGTACAAGAAAGTAATGAATTTTCTTCTTTGTATGTTATACATATACGGTAAATTACCTGATTGCAATTTTATAAATAAATCGCTTAACATTTGTTGTTGTTTGACTGAAATACTATAACATATGTTTATTCTATTAGCAGTTACATTAGCATATTGTTTTAAAGGACGATGTTTAGCTTCAAACCTCATTGACCATAGAGAACGGAATGGACCAACAGTTTTCATTATCCGTAGATAATGTAACATTAGGTGATGTTTATGTTTTAAAGTCTCATCAAACAAATAGATATACAATGTATGATGTTCTTCAATTAAGCTTTCTAACAGATCTGCCGTCGATTCAGTAATACTAAACTGAAGTGTTATGACAAGAATTTTCCGTAATAATATAAAAAGTTCCCAGTATTTGTCATTCATGTCAATAATGAGATCACCAAATATTAAGCCAGCATTTAATACAAAACTTAACATTTCTGAAGCCGACATCTTAATAGACTTTTTAAGTAACTGTAAAGTTGATATTGTGGGTGGCCGACTTGACATAGAATCAAAATTAAAATACTTTAAACACCAATTTAAAGTGTTTAAAGTGAAATATTGTCGTTGCACGATAAAATAATGTAAAATATATGTTATTTCATATCTACATACGCCTTCTAATAGATCATGCATGATATCAACACTGTAATTTTCGACGCCATGAAAACTTTCTAAAATATTAAATGCACAATTTTCTTTTATACCTGTTATACTAACATTATTCTTTGCTATATCTTCTTCATAATTTATTTTATCGCGCAATGCACTCACATCTTCTGTACATAACTTACGGGATATTTTTTACGGGTTATATTTTTTGGTATCTTACAAAATCGACAGCAGATATCTGCTGAGAAACTTTCAACAAATCCTAAAATAGTATGTAACCCTAGATTATCACCGATAATTAATGCTAGTTAAAGTATACTTGAATACTTTTAGAATTCACTATCAGTTGAATGCCTTCGGTTTCTAGAACCATAAGTTCCTTAATTATATAAGAATAAATTTGTTCTTTTGGAAATACTTTTGAATCATCTGCGTGATACAATTGAGCAAGAAATATGTTGTTTAGTTTTGAACACAACTGTAGTGGCAAACATGGTATTGAAATGTATATTCCGTTTAATTTGTATATACCTGCATGCGAACCAAGAGGATTTCCTGTTTCAAACGCGTCTTCATATAAAAACAAAGGAAAAGTTATCGATGTACTGTCTGTGATTTTCGATTTCCAGAAATCAGTTTGTATGATATTGAAAATTTCCCCATTACTATCTTTATTCAATGTTGCAATATATTCGCAAGTTCTTTCAAATATATCACCTATTTCGAAAAATATTTTTAATATTTTTTTTAGTGGTATTAGTTGCCCATATACACTTTCACTTTTTAA